AATAGAATAATAATAAATCGTTTGAGGCGATTAAAACTCGGTTAACAAATTTTTCTGATGAACAGAGGAGAGTTGATTAAAGACCTTTTAGTTCTCCATCTGTATCCACTTACATATATGTTTATAAAATCACAGAGAGACGCGATAAAAACTGGCCCAATTAAAGAAAAATCACGAAAGTGCGCGAAATGAATCATCAAAATTTTGTCTGTTGAATATGACTTCAGCAGTGTTTAGTTCACGTGTTGAATCGAAACCGTAAACTTGAAACATTTCGTGACTTTCGGCGAAATGACTCGTTCTGCGTAAAAAAAGAAGATAGAGTCAGCTTCGATGTTTTATCTGGTTGGCCTATTTGCACGTTTTCGTTTACGGATAAACCGCCGAACGATGATGGAGCGAAGCGGCTTATCGTCTCTCTATACCGATCACGATAACTAACGTAATACCAGAAGACTCGGTCTATGAATGTCATCGCAGGCCACAAGTTCCAACAAGGTTTAACGATCGCATAGAATGAAACACGATGAAGAAACGTGAAACCAACAAATGAAAACGACTGATGGTTCGTTTTACTCCAAATCAGATATACACCGCGCCGATACTATAAAACACTATGCATTCATACAAATTCATGTTTTAATTATTATCTCGAAAAAAATTATCTTTCTACACAGCAAGTAGTGCGTTTTTTATGTACGTTGACACATTTCATTACATACTATTTTTACAATATACTGTTTAATCGAATGCTATTATTAAATATTTTCAATTAGAGTCAATCAATTGCCCAATGCAAATTTGTACTTACATTTTAAATTATTATTTAAAAAGTAAATAATTCTTTCGAAAAGTAAATAATCGAAAACCTTGAATTTCTAAAAAGTACAAAGCTGGCTTTATAATATTACTGGACTGCGAGTGTGGGAGAGAGTATGGAATATAGTATCAGTTTATTAGTAAGGTGCACGGATGAACCCGATGCGAAATCGGGGAGCCGCTAGGATTGTTGATAAAAAGGACGAACCTGATGCGATATCAGGGAGTCTCTAAGATGGAGTCACGTACAGACGAACTTGGTGCGAAACCAGGGAGCCTAAGGAGGCTGAAACGTTATGAACGAACCCGATGCGAAATCGGGGAGCTGCTACAAGGTTAGATAAATCATAGACGAACCTGATACCCACGCACCCGTTTGGTTGTCCAAGCGGCAGGGGAGATGAACCCCTCCGCGCACCCGTTTGGTTGTTCAGGCAGCAGGGGAGGTGAACCCTACGTGGCGCGTCCCCAGGTGGCGGATAGGGGCAGCCGCTGGGATGGGATGCCGGGTTGACGTCATCAACCTGAGAAGGCTGGTGGCCGCATCCTCGCATGGCATCCCGGAAGTCGGAGAGAAAGTTCCCGCGGACCAAACACCGTTATGAATGTGTTGCATGTTTGAATGTGTGTGTGAGTGGACTGGGGCATGGGATATTTGCTGCGGGTTTTACCTAAGGCCGCAGATTGGCCAATTGGCTACGACCAATGTGGCGACGCGGTCTGCGACTTAGTCCCATGTCACGGGGCCGCGGGCGCTGGTGACCAGGTGCTTGCGGTTGACTGGGAATGCGGTGGGATGTGCCTCCCACTGAGAGGGGCCTGAAAAGGCATGGCGCGGCGGGGGGCTCTGTAATGATTCAAAAGAGTTCCCGGTCTCCCGTCAGGCGCCTGCGGATGGTCACTGTGGGGTTTTAGCCGGTAGGAGTCCCGCGGGTGTCCATGAAGATTTCCCCATGTACAAAAAAACAAAAAAGGTCAAATTTCCCCAAATATGCAGTTAGGGACGCTCATAGTAGGGCTATGTGTTGGCGTGCAGATGTGAGAATTGAAGAAAGAATGTTTCCCTATCATCGAGAGGTGACTTGATGGCTAGGCACGCCGATTGGCCGTAGCGTAATAGCAACGCCTGCTCTCACACGCATTGTCATTATTGGCTGAGTCGTTCCATCGCGAGAAAAGGATACGAACGAAAAGTATAGCGATAGAGTAGGATAGGACAAGACTGAGGGGCATTGGTTAACCGTACGCTGAAAATACTAGCCATGAATAGAACAAAAATGTATCTCTCGTGGTTATGGAGACCCTACTACTATGCAGCGTGACGTCAGAGCGGGCCTCTCTAGTGGAAATAAGGTAGCGCGAAGACCTTCTCTCCTTGCCCTTGGCCCGTTTAGTCTATAGGTGCCTAGCCAACAAGTCATCTCTCGATAGTACCATGAACCTCGTCTTGAGCGCGAATCGAAGGAGCGGTCGATTCCGCACTCAACAGTTTCTGAACCGTTCTAACGCCTGCTTCGTCGGCATTATAAATATCTTTTGCTTTAAATGTATATTTATCTAAAACCTTTTCTAAGTTATCAAAAAAGACGTCTACATTTGTTTCATTAAAACTTGTAACACTGAATAGGCTGGTTGCTTCTGTAGATCGTATGGAAAAATGCGGATTTCTTTTCATAAAAGCAGAAAACCAATTTTCGCCCGCCATTTTATGTTTCATCCACTGATGTGGCACTGACAATTTATTGAGACAAAATCTATGATATATTTCGGAAGCTCTCACTATGTATTTTACTATTATTTTTTTTTATTATCATTAAAGACTACATATGTTTCATGGTCTATATATCCCATTGTTAAAGAAGAAGTTATTCCTTTTTATAAAGTTTTAGGCTTTTTCTTCATGTATCTTGACAAAGACACGTGACACAAAGTGTATTTTTTATTGCGGCCCGAATAGATATACAATACTATCATCATAAGCAGCTTCATACATTGATGTATTTTTCGTATTTCTATCGGTTTCTATAACTCTCATACGAGGCATTCTAAAAAGAATTTAATTGCAGTTTTTATTGGTAAAAGAATTTATTAAGTAAATTTAATTTAATAAAAACACTTACCTGAATTTTTGAATAAGATTGATATAAACTGGCCGTCAATGACGCTTAAGCATCAAAAACCCAAGAATATCAAAGACATTTCACGATCGCGAAACGAGCTGCAACAGGCAATCAATATTACAATGTTACAATCAACCCCGACCGGCGGTGTTACAATTGCCCCGGATCCCGCTCTTGAACTTATATTACAACTTTTCACTAACAATACGTTTAAAAGTTCTAATTAACGATCAATAGTTCATTCAAAAGGATGAGACTAAAAATTAAGAAAAAGAAAAAATTCTTACTTGAACAAGGAATATTTATATCACAATTTTAACGCACTAAGAAAATACTATTTTACGACGTCGAAAAGTCATTTCGTTTAATATATTTGTTTATTGAATAACTGTATTGTTAGGACATGGATACAGATATGTACTTCAATTATAGTTTTGTATCATATATCCAAAATTTGTGATAATTAGTAGGATAGATCTTAAATTATTTAACGTGTTACAATTACCCCGTGTTACTATTAACCCCGGCCTCCCCTATTTTTATTTTTGTAACATTTGTTAAAATATCAGTATGAAAAATGGCCATAAATAAAAAATTCTGTTTTGGGATCAATTGATTGTACTGTCCATGATTTTACAAAAGGGTGGATCTTATTTTTCGATTTTCGAATTTTTTTGGGACACCTGAAATTGTGACACTAGATGAAAAAATAACCTATGCAAAATCTAAAATTGATCGGACAACGGGAAAACATGGCACATCGCAGTTGAAAATTTGGTATTTTTGTAACCCGTTTTTCATCATTAAAGTGTATCGCTATCACACATTTTAGTACCTCTTTGAATTCGTCTTTTTACGCTTCATAAGGATATAAAAACAAAATTTTGAATTCTTTGTTTTTTATAACTTGCAATTCTCAAATTTAAAAAATATACTTTTTCGGATTATATTTACTTCCTTAAATAGTACAAGTTCTACTCATAACATTTTTTTCTATATTTATAAATAACGGTTATCGACATAAAAGTTAAGATTTCCGATTTGTCGTTGTCAAATTTGAATAGAAGACTGACATTTGTAGATCATAAATCGACGTACGTTTACAAATATTCACGTACATTTTCAAAATAAATTTCAAATTATCGCAAGTCTACTCCATTATTCATCGTTGGTAAGTAAAGTCCTTAAATGGCCCGCAAAAACAAATCCGGTGGATTCAAGTTAAATGATGCCATTTTACTAGACTTTCTCGTCCTATCCATCTCTTACAAAAGGCTCGATTTAAATATTATCTTACCTTAACTAAAAAATGTGATAGAGGCCTACTACGTTAAAATCATAAGTATAATCTATTCCAATAGTGTATATTTATTAAAATTTTATAATAACTTGCACCTGTCGTCTTGTTCGGTGGAACAACTGATCTTAAAAATCGATTTTCTAAAATTTCTACCCATACGTTTAAGGATAATCTCTCTTAATACTCTGATAAAATAATTGCACAAAAGTTTTCAGTCTAACCATTCATGGCCTAAAATTTTAATCCCGCTTCTGATAAATCCAGTCTCGTCAGTAAAAAGTATGATATGAAGTTCAGATTTATAATGAATTTAATTTAGAAGAATTATGAAAATACCAGTCTTTTTGGATAGACGGAGGTTAAAAGCTTCTAAATTTATTTGGACGTTTATAAATACAAAAATAGATTTTACATAATGGGTTGATTATATTTTTTTTGGTATTAACTACAAATATGTATATTTTATACAAGATGTTTCCGTTGTTTAAAATAGGACCGCGGTCGGCGATAGGTAACCACAGGGGGAAAAACAGCCGTTATTTGAGGAGAAAAACACTTTATTTATTTGCCTGTAACACGTCGGCTTCGATTCTCCAACTGCCCATCGCCACGGCCGAGGCCTCTCGTCTCGCCGGGGGGAAGGGCCCGCAGCGGCGTTGCCAAAAAATAAAGGAACGCGATTCCCCATATCTATGCATTTTTCACATCCTCCCACCTTGAGTCCTTGACTCAACACACCATTCTTTCCGTGCTACAGATGTTCAAGATTGATACCGGTCTGGTTTTTTCACGATACGCCCGCTTCGTGTTCTATTCTCCGTACCAGCGCAATTTTCATTCATCTCACTACAAACCGATTTCTCTTTGACAGCTTCACATTTGACCTTCGTTTTCGCCTTTTCTCGAAGATCATTACTGTCGTCCATATACTCAGAAATTTCAAGCGGGTACATGCGTTGCACCGGTCGCTTGAATTTTCCTGTGCTCATTTTCACAACAGCTACCCGACATTTGTTGTCCCTACCTTCGATCAGCTCTTCAATACGGGCCAAAGGCCAATCTAGCCGCTTACGGTTGTCATCGCCTACGAGAACGACATCACCCTTCTTAAGTTCACGTGATTCTTTAGTGCGAGTTTTCATTACAAGTTGGCTTAGATATTCCTTGCGAAAACGACGTCTTAAGTGTCCCATTAATTCTTGCTTATACTTGTACCTAGACTTGAGATCAACTTGATTAATTATATCAAGATCGGGTGTTTCTGACTCTTTTACATCGCGTAAAAACATAGCTGGTGTCAGTGGTTTTAAGTCATTCGTTTCGTCGGAGAGGTACGTCAAAGGGCGAGAATTCAAAGTGTTTTCACAATCGCATAACACCGTACACATCTCCTCATACGTGAGGCATGATTTTCCTAAAACTTTCCGCAAAATATTCTTAAGCATGCCTATTAGTCACTCCCACCATCCACCCCACCACGCGGCGGTAGGTGGATTAAATCGCCACTCGATACGTTGCGCGCAGCTATACTGAGAAATGGTATCCCAGTTCACGTCCTCAAGTAAATTGTTCGCGCCTACAAAATTTGACCCATTATCGCTGTACATAATAACAGGCCTTCCGCGACGTCCAATAAAACGACGAAAGCTGCCCAAAAATTCTAGTGTCGACAAGGATGTCACGAGTTCAAGGTGTACCGCCCGATACACTGCACAGGTATACAAGCAGATCCAAACCTTCTGCCGTCCGCGTAAAAACAATGGTCCGGCAAAATCAACTCCCGTTATCTCAAACATTGCAGCATCCCTAACACGATGTAGTGACAGGGGGGCTGGATCAACCTGCATTGCCTTAGCGCCGAATCGCTTACATGTGACGCACTTCTCTATGACAGTCCGAATCGTTTTTCTTGCTTTTAAGATCCAGAATCTTTCTCGCAGTTGACACATCACGCTTTGTACACCTGCATGACACATATTTTCATGTGTCTCTCGGATCAACAATTCGACTACCTTATCCTTATAATCTAAAACAATAGGATATAAAAATGAAAAATGATCATCACGCTCCGAAATCTTTGTTTTCAAGCGTATAAGGTCATCAGTGTGTACAAAAACTTGCAATTTTGCCAAACGAGGATCTTTCTTTAATTAAAACGTTTTGCGTTGCACGAATTTCAAATATTTTACCTCCGCTCGGTGAACTTCTTGGTACGCTAATCTCTTGCCTCTATCCGTATAAATATTGCGCTTAAAATTAACAAATCTTAACATTATGGCGAAAAATCTGATTAGTTTAGTGTAAGAGGAAAACCGCTCTACTATCTTCATATCTGTTTGACTTTCCTTACTAAACATAGCTTGTTGAATTGACTTTCTTAATTCCCTTTGAATTTCTTTTTCATCAAAATCCTCTGCTGACTCCGGCCAGCTATTTTGATCTCCGCAGAGCCAGTCAGGCCCTTCCCACCAGCGAGAGTCGAGCAGTTCCTTCGCACGACAACCACGTGAGGGAAGGTCCGCAGGGTTCATTTCTCCTGACACATATCGCCACTTTCCGGACTTTGACAGATTTCGAATCTCACGAACACGATTCCAAACGAAAACACCCCATTGACTATCTCGATTCAGCCAAGCTAATACTGTCGTCGAATCAGACCAATAAAAGACCGGTACCTTATCGTATTCTAGAGCCTCTATAATTTCGCGCGTTTGTCGGTACCCGATTGAAGCAGCTAAAAGCTCTAAGCGTGGAATAGTCGCTTTCTCTGGAGCTATCCTTGTTTTTGCCGCTATGAAACGCAGTTCGACACCCTTTTCATTTTCTACGCGTAAAAATGATACCGTGGCATACGCAACTTGGCTCGCATCGCAAAACGTGTGGAGAGAAACGTCTCCAGGGCCGAGTTTTCGAGGGATAGCTATCTCCTTCAAATAACATAATTGTTCAAGCCAATTAATGAACTTCTGCTGAGTTTCGCTATCGACCGGTGAATCCCATTCCGTCTTGATTTTCCATAACTCTTTTAATAATAATTTAGGTAACAACGTTACTGGGGAAGTAAATCCCATTGGGTCAAACACTCGGTGCGCCATAGATAAAATCGCTCTTTTACTAATTAGGCCTACATTAGATTTTTCCAAAACTGCTGGCTTAATCGAAAGAGTATCTTGTGTTTTATTAAATAAAAGACCGAGCACTAAAGTCGTTTGTTTTTCGCTAAAGTCGTGGGTATACTCCCACCCTCGTAAGTCAAAACTTCCTTTTTCATAACTTCTTTTGCTGTTGATATAAACAAATCTAACACTTCCGACGATCTGACACTTGTAAGACAATTATCTACGTAAAATGACTTGGCCAATTTTCCAATTGTCTCCCTTGACCATTTCCTGTTTGTTATATTTTGCAAGACGTTTGACAGATGCAATTCAAGCACGGCTCCTAACAAGAACGGGCTACAAGTGAGGCCAAAAACGACCCGTCTATGCCGGAATGACTTAAGTTCTCCGTCTTCAAACCACAGAAATCTCAAAAAATCTCTATCTTTCTTATTAATTTCGATTTGCAAAAAGGCTTTCCGAATGTCTGCCAAAAGTGCAATTTCGTGTTCCCGGAATCTAAGCAAAGCGGCTGGAATTAACTCAATGAGATTAGGTCCCTTCTCAAGACAGTTATTCAACGAGGGTTTGCCCTTCTCGGCAGCGGAAGCGTAAAAAATCGGTCGTATTTCCGTTGTACTCCCCACTTTTATAACCGGGCGATTAGGTAAATAATGCGATATCATGTTCAATTCAACTTTCGATACTAACTCTATGATTTCTTCATCGCGCCATTCTTCAAACACTTTGGTATAGTTATCAAACGATTTCTCGATTTTTAATTTCCTCGCGGTTTTTTCTACTCTTGTATTCGCTAAATTGAAATTATCCGACAAAGGGGCGTGGCCTTCCATCCACGGTAAATCTACCGAATAACGGCCGTTCTCTTGAAATCGAACCGTTTTTAAAAAATGGTCTTTTACTATTTGTTCTCTTAAAAACCTATCAGATTTTTCGATCGGATCTCTTATGCCTAAAACGTCTAAACTCCACAGTTCGGATATTTTCGCTTCTGACATAAACATTGAGACGGCTGTGCTTCCAGCGTCCTTTCGCTCGTTCGCCGGGACTTTGCCTGAAATTGTCCAGCCCAGCTTGGTTCCCCTCAGGGGCTGTGTCCGGCAATCGTCGGCCGCAGTACGGGGCGTTGCGACCCCGAGGTACCTGAAGCTAATCACACCGTAAGCCTCCTGTTGGTCGTCACGACGATCCATTCATAATTCCATTTTTGGTTTTGTAAATGGTACGTGACGGCAGGAGAAACGGGGGCCTTGGCTTAACCGCCTGGGCCAAGAGTATGGCGACTCTATAAAATCGCCCTCCAATCCTAAGCTATGGTGCGCGGCGATGGGATGCATGGTTGGGGGAGAAGGCCCAATCCCAAGCGACCACCTCCGGGGCACCTGCCGAACCCCCGGAGTATTAGGCTTACCCGGGTAAGGCGGCTCTGCCCGGGTGGACCTTTATTTCCGACCTACGCGTGGGATTCATATATGGATTTTCAAAATAAAACGGGGATGGGACGGGTTGTTTCGGTTGGGGGAAGGCTCCACCCACGTGGCCGTTACGGTGTCGCGGGCCGCGGCTCCCCAGGGGGGTAGTGACCCGCGGCCCCGGTGCGCGCGTCCTCCGCGGCACCATCCCAAGGAGGGGTGTCGTGGAGCGAGGTGGTAGGGCGGAAGGCGAAGAGGGCGGCGAGGAAGGCCTCGCAGCCGCGACCTGCTACCTCGCCGCCCGCGGCCAAGGGGAAAGGCCGCGAAGGTGCGACCAGGGCGCCCCCCTAAAACGGCAGCAGTGACGCTGACCGTTCCTCAGGGGGGCGACCTGACACTCGCGGGGGCGATGCAGCTCGCCAGGGATAATATATCCCTGGAGGAGCTCGGCATCGCTTCCGTGAGGGCGAAGAGGGCCGTGACCGGGGGTCTCCTGCTGGAGATCCCTGGTCCAGAGGGCGGCGAGAAGGCGGACCGACTCGCCCAGAGGCTCCAGGAGCAGCTGGGCGAGCGGGGTGTCCGAGTCGTCCCGGCCCACGAAGCGCACAGAGATGCGCATATGTGGGTTGGACGACTCGGTCACCGCGCAGGAGGTGTCCTGTGCCCTAGCGAGGGCGGGTGATTGCCCCGAGGGAGACGTGCGGGTCGGAGAAATCCGCAGGTCTCCTTCCGGCCTGGGGTCGGTGTGGGCCCGGTGTCCCCTCTCCGCCGCCCGAAAGGTGGCGGAATCCGGGAGGGTATTGGTGGGGTGGGTTTCGGCGCGAGTGGAGATACTCGCGCCGCGGCCCACTCCAGTGTCACCGCTGCCTCGAGCTGGGGCACGTGAGGCAGTGGTGCACCTCGCCGGTGGACCGCAGCGGTCAGTGTTACCGCTGCGGGGCGAATGACCACCGCGCGAGCCAGTGCTCGGCGGCCCCCCACTGCCCGCTATGTGCGGACATGGGGAGGCCAGCCGATCACAGGGTGGGGAGCAAAAAGTGCTCTCCCCCCTCCCGGAAGGGGAAGAAGAAGGGGCCCACCCCGGTTCAAGCACCGCGGTTGCTGGCAGCGTCCACAATGGAGGTGGACGGTGCCACGGGGACGGACAGCCGGGAGGAGGCTGGGACGGCCGTTAAATAACGGCGCCCCGCCTCCTCCTCCAGGCCAATCTCAACCACTGCCGCGCGGCACAGGACATGATGTCCCAAGTCCTCGCGGAGTGGGGGGTTGGCCTGGCGGTCGCCGCCGAGCCGTACCGCGTGCCGGATCACCCACATTGGGTGGGCGACGCGGACGGTTTGGTGGCGACGGTATGGGGAGGTGGCGACGGGTCCCCGCCGTTCTCCATTCTGGAGCGCGGTCGGGGTTTCGTCGCCGTGGACTGGGGGGGAGTCGCCGTAGTGGGGTGCTACATCTCGCCCCGCAGCGGTCACGCCGCGTTCGAGCTGTACTTGGCCGAGGTCGCGGCATGCGTGCAGCGCTGCGCGGCCCGGCCGGTGCTAGTCCTGGGGGACTTTAACGCCAAGTCGGTGGCTTGGGGATCCCCTAGGACCACCGTTCGCGGCGGGATCCTGGGCGACTGGGCGGCGGGGCTCGACCTTCGGTTACTGAACCGGGGGTCGGAGCACACGTGCGTGCGGCGATATGGGGGGTCTATCGTGGATGTTGGATTCGCGACCCCCAACGCCGTGCGCATGGTGTCGGGTTGGCAGGTGGCCCCGGAGGCAGAGACACTCTCCGATCACCGGTATATCCGGATGGAGGTCTCTGCCGCCGGGGCTGCGTCCCGGCACCGCCGCCCGGATGGCACCCCACCGC